CCCCAAAACCCCAAAACCCCAAAACCCCAAAACCCCATTCTGTAAAAGTTAAATATATTTAAATAATTTGAAATGGAAGAGGATCAGAAGAGAAGTACGTTTGCTGGTCTAACTTAGAGCAATTTATTGATATTTTTCCTTGAAAAAGCTGTTTGGGCTCTCCTAGCTTGGCTCTTTGATTCATTTTTTAAAGGACATTAACTATGGTATAGAATTCCAGAAATTCGAAGACGAAGAGTTCAACATATTCGACCAGAAACAGCCTGACTCTATAAGTGGCACTGTTGAATATGAAGCAGAGGACAACCTAACTCCAATGAGAGGTGGGAAGAGCAGTAAGCAACATGAGTTTGAGAAAAGGATCTCTAAAGTCTCTAAAAACACTAAGAACACTAAAAATACTAAGAATAGTAAATAAAAGTATCTCTTACGTCATGATGAAATAGGTAGAGTTTTTCAACCAAATCAGGATGGTGAGGAACGGATCATTGATAAAGCAAATCCCATCACTAACATCCCGAATGCTGTCATGAATTTCTTTCTAGTCAATAAGGACAGTGCGAAGGATGATATTGAAAGTAACCTTTCGATAGATACCTCTCCCACAGATACCAATATAGAGAGGATCTACAGGATTTTCTTAGTAGCATGGTTCCTACATGCGATATTTGGGGCAATTACACTGTTTATGAACTACCAAGACCATGAAGCCAACTCCAAGGCGTATAAATACATCTTTATTATGACATTCAAGTGGTTTTTGTCTGGTTTCTTAACACTCTTCTTCCTCATGTTCATTGCGCTATTCTTCAGAGTATGCCTAGGCGTGAAGAGTTTTGGAGAATACATTGGTGTAATCTACATGCTATTCTCGCTAGTCTCATCATTCATAATTTTCTTAGCCATTCCTTTAGGAATCAGGGCTATATACATATCGCCATCTTTGGACTTAATGAGTTTATTGTTTATCCAAGTAGAGATAATCCTGGACACATTAATTATCGCAGTAGTGATCTACAACATGATTTTCTCAAATTCTCGCCAAAGAGAAAGCAACTTCTATTCGAACGAAGACGAAGAGAAAGGCATTAAGGATGTCCTCAGCGGGGACAATCTTGAGAAACTCCAAAAAGAAATCCTCATGGCTTATGAAAATAATGAAATTCTTAATGTTCAGAGTGATAGATCCCGTGAAAACGAGCAGTCTCCTGAACGCACCTTTACAGAGAGTAGTGACCGCAGAAAGAAGGATCAAGACGACAGAAACAGTTTGTACCCGATTTCAGAAATTGAAGGTGAAAAGAGCGTTGCAGGTGATTTCAATGCCTCTCTTCGTAACGAGTTCTTAAGGAAACAAAGTAGGCAAGAGAAGCAAGAAGGCAGAAGAACGAAGGAGCCTAATTACCTTGACATGAACGATATCATGAATTTGAGTAAATAATCATAGCGAGAATTTACCCAACCGGATTGGGTTCTCAAAGAGCATTTCGAATCATTTGAAGATAGACCCACAAGGCAAGCAGATGAGTTTAATGGAAAATATACAGAAATCTAAGATCCAAGGTAACCTCAGATATGCTAATCCATAGAAAAAGAGGAAGAAGATGAACGTTCAGAGAGTATCAACCTTGATTACGAATCTGCTAAGGCAAACAGTGACCGTTTCCAGAAGAAAGCCCAACTTGAAGAATAAAAATTCAATAATTATCGGATAAATTGGGGTTTTGGGGTTTTGGGGTTTTGGGGTTTTGGGG